TAGTCATATAGCAATTCTTTATTAACACACTAAATAACAAAATGTAGCAGCCAGGTTTTATGTTCACAATAATTTCAAAGCAATGATGAGTGGTATTTCAAGATTCTTTAGTAATTGTATTATAATATGAAAATATCTGTGATTTCAAACTGTTGACCAAACCACAGGTGTGGCTTAAATACTACAGAATTTGTTAACATTATTCGTCATTGAAGAGATTGCTAAATTTCATTTTTATTTATTTATTTATTTATTTATTTAGACAGTCTCCTGCTGTCATCCCAGCTAGAGTGCAGTGATGTCATCATAGCTCACTGCAACCTCAAACTCCTGGGCTCAAGCGATCCTCCTGCCTCAGCCGCCCGAGTACCTGGGACTGCAGACACACACCACCACGCCCGGCTAATTTTTCTACTTTTAGTAGAGACGGGGTCTTGCTTTTGCTCAGGTTGGTCTCAAACTCCTGAGCTCAAGTGATCCTCCCACCTTGGCCTCTCAGAGTGCTAGGATCACAGGTGTGAGCCACCGACCCTGGCCCTAAACTTCATTTAGAGGCTAGTGAAAATAAAGATGTAATTTTTTTTCCATTCAGGTTCATAGACCTCCTAAATTCTGTCCATGGATTTATTTGGGGGCCCATCAACCCCAGATTAAGACCACTGGCAGAGGATGGCAGAGCTTTTATTATACTTGGCTTCCTAGATGACCTTAAGGGGCAGAACCTAACTGGATGGTTACATGAGAGAGAAATAAACCGCTATGTTGTTTTCTGGTTTAAGTCATTGCAATTGGGGAATCTTTTTTTTTTTTCCATAGCAGTTCAGCCTGTCTACATCTATCTTTTAAGTATCTCCTCAATTCGTGGTCCTTTTTCTATCATCACATTGCTGCCTGCTACAGGGTTTGCTGGGGTGTTACCTTGAAATTGCTTTAGCTTTTAAAAAACTTTTATTGAAGCACAATTTACATATAATAAGAATACATGCATTTTAAGTTCATTTAAATGAGTGTTTTATGAATGCTGATAAATGTGGAACCTGTATACCCGCCACAATCAATATGTAGACTATTACCATTACCCTAAAAAGTTCCCATGTGCCATTTCCTAGTCAATTGTATCCCCCTCCCCTGGAACCAACAACACCCCTCGATACTTACTGTGCTTCTGGCCCTAGATAATCACAAATGTGCTTTTTGGTGCTATAGAGCAGATTTGTTTTTCTAGGGTTTCATATGAATGGAATCATATAGAAGGTACTCTTTTCTGTCTGGCCTCTTTGCCTCAGTCTAATATTTTTGAAAATTCATCTATGTTGTCGCATTTATCAGTAGTTTGTTCCTTTTCATTATTGAGTTGTATTCCATAATATTTTATCCATTCATCATCTGATGAGCAATTTGGCTTGTTTCAAGATAGGTGCCATTGTGAATACAGTTGCTGTGAATATTCATATACAGTTCTCTATGTGGACAAAGATTTTCATTTCTTTTTGGTAAATACCCAAGAGTAGAATGACTGGGTGGTATGTTTAACTTTTTTTTTTTTTATTTCAGCATATTATGGGGGTACAGATGTTTAGGTTACGTATGTTGCTCTTGCCCCCCCCCCCAAGTCCGAGTTTCAAATATGTCCATCC